TTTTTTGCACATTCTAAATGCAAATCTTCTATTAGATCTGCAATTTGAAAGCCAGGTATGGTGGTACATACTTGTTATTCTAACACTTGGGTTATAGACTCTGGAAGATCAGAAGTTCAAGGTTATTCTGCACAGGCTCTTTGAGACTGGCAAGCCTGGAATACCTGAGACCCTGTTTCAAAGAAAAAGGCAATTTCATCCTGTTCATCCTGTAACTTGTCTGGTTGTTTTCTTGGTGTGTCCTTGTTTTGTTCATAGTACAGAGATTGAACCTGGGGCATCAAGCAAGGCAGGCAAGTATTCTGTCTACCACTGAGCCATATCCCCAGCCCTCTATTTTACTTTCTGAGATTTGGTCTCATTAAATTGCTAGAACTGGCAATGAATGAATGAATTTTCACTGTAGTCCAAACTGGCTTGTGATCCTACCTACTCCCTAGTAGCTGAAATTATAGTCCTGTACTATCAGGCCTGACTTTTATGTTGTTCTGAACACAGAGTAATATTATATATGTAGCCCAGTCTAGCCTGGAACTGGAGATTCTCTTGCCTCAGTTTCTTGAGTTACTTGGGATTGCAGGATTTTACCACCACATTGGCTGGTGGTTCCTCTGAAAAATAATAATAACAACAACAATAACAAAATTAAACTGTTTACTTAAATCCACTTCAGTCCCCCTCCTACCTTTTTTTTTTTTTTTGCTATTATAGCATATCTGGAAGATTATTGTCAATCAAAGATTATGAAGGTGCATTCCCCCATCTTCCTTCCTCCTGCTTCTAAGGGATTTATATTTTTGGCTCTTAAGTCTTTGATCCTTTTGAGTACTATTCTAAACTCTACCTTCTGTTTGCTTTGTGGTCTTGCATGGTTCATTTGCTCTTTCTCAGACTAACTTTTTATCTGTAAAATAGAATCAGTTCATTTAGCTAAATGTGGTTATTTCAAACTCTTGAATTCATTATTTGTAGTTTTTGAAGTTATACAGTGGAAAACATTTAGACATATAAGGAACCTTTAAAGTATGGTAGAATGCTACTTTTGTAAAATATATCCATAAAAAAATATTTTCTGGGGCTGGAGAGATGGCTCAGACACTGACTGTTCTTCCAGAGGTCCTGAGTTCAATTCCCAGCAACCACATGGTGGCTCACAACCATCTGTAATGTCCCCTCTTCTGGCCTGCCGGTATACACACAGGCAGAATATTGTATGCATAATAAATAAATAAATATTTAAAAAACAAAAAAGAAAATCCTTACAACAGAAAATAGATTGTTATTGTCAGGAGCTGGGAGTAAGACAGGGGATTGACCAAAAAGATAGTTAAAAGTGATAAAAATCTTTACATCTTGATTATAGAATTGATGTTATTTGTATGACTGAATATGTTTTTTAGGCTCAGGACTATATTCCTAAAAAGAGTAAATTTTTCCGGGTGGTGGTGGCGGCACATGCCTTTGATCAACACTTGGAAGGCAGAGGCAAGCGGATCTGAGAGTTCAAGGCCAGCCTGGTCTACAGAGTTCTGGGACAGCCAGCGCTGTTACACAGAGAAATTCTGTCTTTCAAAATCAAAACAAACAAACAAAAACTTTTTTATAGTATTCTTTTTCATTCTGAGACTAGAGGAAATTGAGACTCAGAATGGTTAGGACACTTGCCTGTGGTTTTCTTTGATAGGTGGTAGTTGTAGAACCTGAATTTACCTGACAGTAGAACTCGTGATTTCAGCTGATGGTTTTCAGTCTGTTGCTGAAATCATGAGCAGTATACAGATCTATTGCAGAGGATAATCCCTTGGAAGCTAGGAACTCTGATCTTAGCAGTTCCCCTGAAGTGGCTATAATAGTCTTATTTTAATTGTTTGTTTACTTTTGAGACAGAATCTTACTATGTATCCTAACTGGGCCTTGAACTCATAGCAATCCTCCTGCCTTAACTTTTTTAGTGTGGGATTACAGCTTTGTTTCACCATACCTGGTTTATTCCAAATAACTGGCAGATGCTGGTTGGGATTGAGTTCATATTGTTATGCCCATGTCATGGTCTCCTATGTCTGTCTGTGACTCTCATTTTGGAGCAGTAGGAGGTCTGTTTCACAGCTGGTGAGTTTCTTTGATTATGGAAACATTCCATATTTTGTCCAATCAGCAACAAAGAATGTATTCTCTATAGGAGAATGTGCAGATGTTTTTAGGGCCTGTTGTGTTTTAGTCTATTTCATGCTGCTATAACAGGTTAGATAATTTATAACAATAAGAAATTTATGTGCTCACGGGTATGGAGGTAGGAAATTCAACTACAAGGTGCAAGTGTCTAGCAAGGGTCTTCTTGCTGTGCCATTCTGTGGTAGAAGAGCAGAAAGAACAAAACCAGAGGTTAGAAGAAAGAGTACAAGAAACCACATTTATCCTTTTCTGAAGCGTCTTCTCCCAGTATAACAGATTAATCAGTTCATAAGAGTAGATCCCTCGTGGTGTCTTAAATTTTGCACCTCTTACTATTGTTACAGTGGCCATTAGGTTTCTTACACATGCCTTTTAGTGGATACTATATCAAGCCATGACAGTATTTTATTAATAGTCTTACTTGACACTGACTTGTTAGGGAGAGAACTGGTTAAGGAGGAGAAGGTCCGAGTTAGGGAAAATGTTCAAGCAGTCATCTCTGTTGTCACACATTGTTTATATCTGTTTATTACTTTACAGTTAGCAAGTAAGTTTAGTCTCAGGGTTAATTCTGAGCTCTGGTTGTGAAAATAGTTTTTGCGGGGCTGGAGAGATGGCTCAGTGGTTAAGAGCATTGTCTGCTCTTCTAAAGGTCCTGAGTTCAATTCCCGGCAACCACATGGTGGCTTACAACCATCTGTAATGAGGTCTGGTGCCCTCTTCTGGCCTGAAGACATCCACACAGACAGAATATTGTATACACAATAAATAAATAAATAAATAAATATTAAAAAAGGAAAATAGTGTGGTGCCTGAATCTGCGAAACCCTACTCTCCGATACGGGTGCGCGCCTCCCATATCGAACCGCGAGTCTGGATCAATATCCTAGGAGTTAAACAGACACACACACAGAGACCAGGATCATTTGCCCAAAGGGTAAATGTCGACTTTATTCAGTACATGTCGGGTTTATATACTTGGGGGCAAAAGGACGAGAGCCCCCTCCCACCTGGGAGTGAGAACATAGTGTTGACCACTTGGCGCCAAGTGGCAGAGCGGCCAAGCAGGGGGTATCAAGATGGTGGCAGTGTCAGAGACAGGGGCAGGGCGCTGCGAGAACCTTTGCTTGCAGGTGGAATTACCATATCAAAAGAGGACAAAACTCTCTAAGCTAATTCCCCTAGTTGGTGGAGTGAGCAGAGGAGAAGACAGGAAGCTAGACTGGTAGGAGATACAGCCCTGCATAGCACCTCGAAGAGCTGGGAAAAGCCTGGGTATCAACAAAATAGTTTTTGCTAAATTGAACTGGCAATACACATAGTTTCTTACAACATATATCCTCAAGTTGTAGCTTTAATTTGTAGATAAATGTATTGACCCTGTTAATCCTGGCATTGTTTGCCAGGGCTTTGCATTGGGTAGATTTATGAAAGTTCTAGATTATGAAATTTACCAGTGTTATTTCCTGTTTGTCTATCTGATGGTCCTAGTGTCCTATCCTTGGGAACTCCTTATCTTTCATTCCAAAACCCTGGACAGACTTAATTAGTAACAGAACCATTGTCATCAAGCCAGATGTTCACTGCCTGCCTTCAGCATCTAACTTATTCCCTCTCCTGGGGTGCAACAGAAGTTAATGACCTAAAAAATTGCCCACCTATCTTGTAAATCTAGTTAGGAGAGAATTGTTTGATTTTTTTTTTATGGAGTGTAAGTAATATTTCTGGAGACACGTATTCAAACATGTGTCAGCTTATGTGTAAGATACAGCTCTCTAAAGAAGATGGGACAAATTGGTTAATAGAGCATAATAACATGTTTTCCATTAATCAGAATGGAAAATGTCCTTAATTAAGGACATTAAGAGCACTTGTGCCAGTGATAGCTATTGCACACAAATTTCCAAGTTTATTTATTTTCCTTGAATAAATTTGGCAAGAAGTCTTGGCAATGTTTCTCTTTTTGCATTAGGATGTTCAGTGGCATCAAATTTACCCTTTGGAGATCATTAAGACGGTTCAGTAGATAGAGATGCTTGTGGCCAGATCTGGCACCCTGTGTTCTATCTCTGGTACACATAATGGAAGAAGAGAACCTTCTGCAAGTTGTCCTCTGACCTTCACACAATGCTGTGTTACATAATAGATGTAATAAAAATTCCTCCTTTTTTCCTTTAAAGCTGTTAGTAGCTTTTATCTTATCTTCTACAGGCAAAAGGGGAATGGACAAAACAGTTGCTGTTCCTTCATTCTAGCAGGCTAAGTGCTCACTACCAGATACTCAGACTCCCTTGATAAACTGGAAAAGTATGACATTTTCCAACTTGTGAAGTAGTATCATTAGAACCAGCTCAGCAGTGGTGGTGCATGCTTTTAATCAACACTCAGGAGGCAGAGGCAGGTGGTTCTCTGTGAGGTCAAGGCGATCAAGTCCCAGGACAGAGTCCAAAACTACACAGAGAAACCTTGTCTTGAAGGGGGGGGACGTCAGAGGTTAACTAATCCATTTATTATTAGAATATTGAAGTCAAAGAGGAAAGGTGATTTGGCCAATGCCACACTAATGCCTTAAGAACTTTCTATGGGATATTGGGACTAATATTAAACTGACAGCCTAAAGTAGCTGAGTTGACAGTGAACAAGTTATATCACTTCTCGGCACTGTCATTCATCTGTAAAATGGGAAAAGTATTATACTCTGTTTAGCCCTTTTTTTCCTATACCATGCTGCTTCTCTTTGAACATAGCTGAAGGCTTTAGAGGAGAAGATGATGTCAGAGGCAATGAGCAATTAATAATCAATGCTGTTTTATTTGTCTTTGTTGTAGGATCCTCAGTCTTCCACAATGAACCCTGTTTACAGCCCTGTACAACCTGGGGCTCCTTATGGCAACCCTAAGAACATGGCCTATACTGGTAAGTGATATAATAATGGATTATTGGTTTTCAATTATTCTTTGATAGTTTCTTATATTTATTAGTGAATTTAGCTGGTTTTACTCCTGTTATTCTTTTTTTCTTTTCTTTTATTCTTTTTCACACCTTCTTCCATGAATGACTCTAACTTGCTGAGTGGCTTACAATTTACTCTCGAGCTCCAAAAGCCCTGGCAAAGCTTGAGAAGCTGGAAAAGTTGTATTTAATTAGGGTCCCATAGTGATGAAAGTAGAGGTGACAGATAGAGTTCACTATGCAGTTCTTAGCTCTGGCTACCTTGGAGACCAGCTTGGCTTAGAACTCACAGAGATCTACCAGCCTCTGCTTTCCTGAGTGCTGGTATTAAAGGGTTGTGCCAACATGCCCACCAGCAGAAGTGACTCTCTGGTTAAAGGTTATTGAATTATTAGCAGAAGGGAAGTTAACACTTACTGAGCACCTGCCATGTTTCTGGCCTATGGTTGGTACCTTTAGTGTCTTATTTCACCTTTATTTAAAAATTAATTTTACGCGCACGTGTGTGTGTGTGTGTGTGCGCGTGTGTGTGTGTGTGTGCGTGCGTGTGTGTGCGTGCGTGCGTGTGTGTGCGCGCGTGCAAGTGTGCGTGTATGTATACGCATGCATTTATATGTGTGTTCCATACTCTGATACAGCCTTTGAAGACAGAGGACAACTTTTTGGAGTTGGTTCTCTCCTACTTTGTGGGTTCTGTGGAATAAAACTCAGGTCATCAGGCTTTGTAACGAGTTCCTTTAACTGCTGAGCCATGTCTCTGGACCCTCACTTTTCATTTTAAAGTAAATACAATACAGTGTAGCTCATTATCACTGTTTCACAGATGAGAAAATCATAGGCATAGTGTGAACACCACAAATTCAGAATTAGTTAATTGAACCCAAGTAGCTGATTTGAAGACTGATCTTTTTAAAAACTCTTACATTCCAGTGTGGCTTTTTTTTCCTTCAAGTTTTTATATATGTTGCTCTTTTGTTTGGAATGCTATTACTGTCAGACTATTTTGCCTTATTCTTCAAGAAATTTACCTTGAAGCCAAAGTTAAACTTGTATCCTGCTACATTATTGAAAGTGTTTATGAGTTATAGAAGTTCCTTGATAGAATTTTTGGGATCATTTATGTAAACTGTCATATCATCGGCAAACAGTGAGAGTTTGACTTCTTTTTTTCCGATTTGTATCCCCTTGATATCCTTTTGGTGTCTTATTCCTCTAGCTTGGACCTCAAGAACTATATTGAATAGATATGGAGAGAGTGGACAACCTTGTCTTGTTCCTGATGTCAGTGGAATCGCTGGGAGTTTCTCCATTTAGTTTGATGTTGGCTGTTGGCTTGCTGTATATTGCCTTAATTATGTTTAGGTATGTTCCTTGTATCCCGCTCTCTCCAAGATCTTTATCATGAAGCGATGTTGTATTTTGTCAAAAGCTTTTTCGACATCTAATGAGATGATCATGTAGTTTTTATTTTTCAGTTTGATTATATGGTGGATTACGTTGACAGATTTTCGTATGTTAAACCATCCCTGCATCTGTAGGATGAAGCCGACTTGATCATGGTGAATGATGGTTCTGATGTGTTCTTGGGTTCGATTTGCCATTATTTTATTTAGTATTTTTGCATCAGTGTTCATAAGTGAGATTGGTCTGTAATTCTTTCTTAGTAATGTCTTTCTGTGGTTTGGGTTTCAGGGTAATTGTAGCCTCATAAAAAGAGTTTGGCAATGTTCTTTCTGTTTCTATTGTGTGGAATAATTTGAGGAGTATTGGTATTCGTTCTTCTTTGAAAGTCTTGTAGAATTCTGAACTGAAACCATCTGGCCCTGGGCTTTTTTTGGTTGGGAGACTTTTGATGACTGTTTCTGTTTCTTCAACAGTTCTGTTTAATTTGCTTATCTGGTCTAGACTTAATTTTGGTAAGTGATATTTATCCAGAAAGTTGTCCATTTCCTTTAAGTTGTCCAATTTTGTGGAATACATGTTTTCAAAATATGACCTTATGATTCTCTGTATTTCCTTCATGTCTGTTGTAATGTCCCCCTTTTCATTTTTGATTTTGTTAAATTGGATGTTCTCTGCCTTTTGGTTAGTTTGGATAAAGGTTTGTCTATTTTGTTGATTTTCTCGAAGAACCAACTCTTTGTCTCCTTGATTTTTTATATTGTTTTCTTTGTTTCTATTTTGTTGATTTCAGCTCTCAATTTGATTATTTCCTGCCATCTAGTTCTCTTAGGTGAGTTTGCTTTTTTTGTTCTAGAGTTTTCAAATGTTCTGTTAATTCGCTAGTGTGGGATTTTTCCAGCTTCTTTATTTAGACGATTAGTGCTATGAACTTTCCTCTTAGCACTGCTTTCATTGTGTCCCATAAATTTGGGTATGTTGTGTGGTCATTTTCATTGAATTTTAGGAAGTCTTTTTTTTCTTCTTCTTTTTTGAGACAGGGTTTCTCTGTAGCTTTGGAGCCTGTCCTGGATCTAGCTCTTATAGGCTCAGGCTGGCCTCGAACTCACAGAGATCTGCCTGCACTACAACTAACTGGCCCTTTCTCTTCTTAAAAATATTGGGATGGTATAAGCATCCAAGTATCACTCAGAAGTCTGGTGTGTGTTCTGGACAGAGGAATGTGTCTAGAGTGTCAAAAGAAAATGAAAATATAGAGAGATAGATGAAGTTCCAAGCAATGAATTTATTTTTACTTTTTCAGAGGATTTGTTTTTATTTATGTATATATTTATGTTTCTGCACACACCTACATGTGTGCAGGTGCTAGAGGAGATCAGAAGGCATCAGATACCCTGGGACTGGAGTTAAAGGCAGTTCTGAGTCATTTAACGTGGCTTCTGGGAGCCAACCTCCAGTCCTCTGCAAAAATAATAGCAAACACTCTTAACTGCTCTATTAACATCTCTCCAAACTTATTTTTATTTAATTTGTGTGTATTGGGGGTAATAGATATGTATATGTCTGTGTATACTGATGCTTGCATGTCATAGCATATTTACAGAAGTCAGAAGACAATGTCAGGTGTCACCAGGCTACTTCCCACTTTATTTGTTGCTTGCCACTGTATATGGCGGGCTTGCTGATCTGTAAGGTTCTAGGGATTCTCTGTCTCTGCATCCTATCTTACTATAGGAGTTTTAGGATTACAGACAAACTACTGTGCCCAGCTTTTACATGGTATCTTAGTTGCTTTCTTATTGCTCTGATAAAACACCATGAACAAGACAACTTATAAAATAATTAATTTGAGACTTAAGGTTTCAGAAACTTAGAGTTCATGACCATCATGGTGAGAACCATGGTGCTGGAGCTCGCATCTTGATGTACAACCAAGAGACAGAGAGAGCTAACTGGAAATGGCTTGGGCTTTTGAAACCTCAAAGTTTACCCCCAGTAACACATCTCCTCCAATAAGACCACACTTCCTAACCCTTCTCAAATAGTTCTACCAACTAAGGACCAAGTATTCAAATATATGAGACTATAGAGGTATTCTCATTCAAACCACCACACATAAGTAATGGGGAGCCAGACTTAGACCTTATACTTGCTTGACAAGTTTTTTTTACCCACTGAACTATTTCCTAGGTCCAAAGAATTTTTACTCAGGCTACTATGTATATGGCTTTCTTTTCAGGGTATGTATGCAACAGTGGACCACATTCAGGGAAGTTGTGGTATAAGAGAAATTTTTAAGAAAAAGAAAAACTTCATATAAACTGTTTTGAAGCAAAGACCATTGATTATAGGGACTTGTTAGAGAGGCTGATATGAGCTCATTGGTGAGATGGGTGTTGCTACGTAAGTCCTTGTGCAATTTGCTTATTTGGTCTTGAAGACCTTTTTGCAGTAAATCCTGTAATAGGCATATGTGCAGGAATTTCTTAAGATATACCCTACTAGAGACATGGATATGTACAGACTCCTTCATGGCCTCCTGATTCCATTTTGTTAGGTTTTATGTAAGTCACTCTATTTTGATACTTGCAACTTCCAGAATCTAAACTCCACTACTGATAGACTGTGGCCTGTATGAATTTTAGTTTTCTCAGCTGTAAAATGAGATAATGACCTAAACCAAAGGTTGGTTTATTGGTCATAAAGGACTCTAGTATAGTCCCTAGCTAAGTTGTTGTAAAGTGCAGCAATGACTATAACTTTGTAGAGAAAAGAGATTAGAATGTAGAGATGGTGGCTTAGAACTGTGCAGTGACTGGAGGCATGGCTCAATGGGTAGAAGGCTTTCCAGGCATTTACATGACTGTGTTTGATCTCTAGTGCTGCAAGAGAAAAACCAAACCTGACCACTATGTCATAACATCTGATAAGTTATTACACTTTTGTACCTCAATATATATTCTCAAGAAAAGCATAATAAAAGCTTTGGAATGCTTTCTTCATAAGAAGGCAAAGAGTAGTGAATGTAAGTGCCAGCCATCAACTTGCTGTATGGGCCCCAAACACATTTAGAAAATAATTATGAGATTTAAGAACATATGAAGTGTTTAAACTAACTTACCACTATATGAAGGAAAAGATGGAGAATTTCGTGATTTGTGTTAGAGCTGGGTCTGATACCTAACTCTCCACTCTGGCCTGTATATTCATTGTCTCTCCACCACAAGGAAATAATTAAGATTTCTTCTTCCTTTTCTTATATTCTGTCCTGGGTACTGGTTCCCACTCCTCTACTGCCTGGAACCAGTTGTAGTACTCTGAATTTTCTGGTCTCAGACTGTAGCAAACAATATGTCCAATTGCTACAAATACTTAAGCTTAGTGTTAGTAGCACATACCTATAATTTCAGCATTCTGAAGATAGAGGCAGCAAGGCTTGGGGGTGTTCAAGGCCAGTTCCAGCTACAATAAATCAATATCCTCCCCCAAACAAACAAAACTGAAAAAAACGTGTTGTCTGAGGTTTCTGTCCCACCTGGTCCTGCAGTCATTCAGTCCCAAAAAAATCATACAGAGGTCTTCATCAGTTATAAACTGGTTGGTCCAGTATCTCAGGCTCTTCTTATTAACTAATTCATATAACTTATATTAGCCCATAATTTTTGTCTGTGTTAGCCATGTGCTTGGTACCTTTTTTGGCAAGGCAATCACATCTTGCTTCCTCTGCGACTGGGTCACAACTGCAGACTGAAACTTCCCTCTTCCCAGAATTCTCGTTGCTCTGCCTCTACTTCCTGCCTGGTCACCATTGCCCTGCCTATACTTCCTGCCTGGCTACTGGCCAGTCAGTATTTTATTAAAAATAGTACAAGTGACAGGATAAAAGACCATTGTCCCTCAGCACTAACATAGCCCCCCAAAGGGGGGGTAATACAAACCCACAATCTGATACTCCCCATTCCTTCTTTTCCTCTTTATTTTTTTCACTAACAGGTTAGCCAGGACTATATTGTAATCCTGTCTCAAGCAAGCAAAAAAGATGTATCAGTTTGTCAACTGAAGACCTCAATAATTAATAAAGTTGACAGCCTACAGATACAGTGAATGATCTGATATGTCAGTATGGCTAAGAAATATTCTCTTCCATTGACCAGTTCCTGTCTAATTCTCTGTATGTGTGTGTGTGTGTGTGTCTGTCTGTCTGTCTGTCTCTCTCTCTCTCTCTTTCATCACTTTGTAGAGCTTTTAAGATTATGACAGCGGTACTTCATATGTGTGTGGGGGGAGGGATATGTGTCAGCATTAGTTGTCCTCAATTGCATTCTACCTTAACTGTTTTGAGACAAACTCTTTAATTGAACATGGATCTCACTGATTGTGAGCTGGACTGGGCCGGTCAGCCAATCCCAGGAGTTCTCTTGTCTCCACTTCCCCAGAACTGGCATAACAGCATACAGCCTTCCGTGGGTTCCAAACTCAGGTCCTTATGCTCACGTAGTAAGCACTTTACTGTCATTTCCCCAGCCTGGTGCTTTGTTCTTTGCACAGAACTTCCCCAAGGTTTTTCTCATTCAATCTTTTAAAACAGCTTTAAAGAGATAACTTTTATTTTCTAAGTAAAACAACTGGTAATCAGCATCAAGGTCATACTATACAGCAGAACCTAAACTAACCATAGATTTCTATTTATTCATTTATTTTTGTAATTGCAAAGTAAATGCTTTTACTGCTCTGGTGTGTGGGGCTGTGTCCTTGGACACCATAGTGATTAGCATCTCAGATGAGCCAAGAAATCAAATTCAAATTCCTGAAATTGCTAACTAACACTCCTTTGCTGTGGAGGCTGGTTTCCTCTGTTCAGAAAAGGCCCCCTCGGGTCTCTTAACTTTTTCAACTTCACTGAAGAAGAACCTCTTGCTGTAGTTATAGCTACTCTCGTTATTGTTAAACCTAATGGACTGATTTTTGACCTCATCTTAATTTGATCTTCTGTATCGTTTGATAGCCTCAATGCTTCCTTCCTTCCCCTTTTTACTTTTTCCATTTTTCTTCCTTTGTTTGGAAGGGATGGGATAGTTTGATTTCAGGCTAGCTTCAAACTTGCTATATCAAGGAATGACCTTGAACTTCCTTCTGGGCCTTCTGCCTCCACTTCCCAGGTACTGGGATTACAAGCAAGTCACCATGTCTGCTTTATACAGTGTTGATAGTTAAACCAAGGACTATCACAGCCTCCTCCCCACTTCTTCTTTTTTAATTTAAATATATCTTTTTTAACATATATTTGTTGTGGTCTGGCACATGTCAGAGTACACGTGTGTGTCAGAGGGCAATTTGCAGGAACTGGTTCCTCCTTCCCAGGATTGAACTCAGGTCATCAGGGTTGATGGCAAGTGCCTTTACCCATTGAGCCCTCTCATCAGCCTTTTTCCACCCTCCTCCTTAAAGGAAGCCTTCCTTGCTTTTATTGAGTCTACTACAAAATTTCTGTTTATTTTTGTTTTCTTTTACTTCTTCAGCTGTTCCTGAGCTGTAGTCTCCTTTCAGGGTTTTGAAAGTTGGTGCTGCCTAAGGGCTCAGTTGCTGCCTAGAAGCTGATTTATAGTGTGGCAAACACTTCCTCTAAGCTTCAGATTAATTTATTCTAGCTTTATTTCATAGATATCCATTATTGTCTCATACATTGCTTAGATTTATGTTTAAAACTGAGCATATTAGCTGGGTGGTAGTGGCAAATACCCACACCACATACAATAGCAGGCAATAAGGGTTGGAAAAATGGCTCAGCAGTAAGGACTGTTATACAGAGAAACCCTGTCTTGAACACCCCCC